TAGGCCAAGAAGTCTTCCGATCCATATGCTCATAAATAAGCTCAGTAATTGCTTAGAGGACAACAGGAAATGGATATAGAGAGCCGTGGAATAAAAAACAAAAACATTTGTGACTAAATATAGATAGTTCATCATGTGTTAAACAGTGTGACATGCTATTCTTCACCTAAAATTATTTTAAAAATTGCTTTAAATTAATTTAGAAATATGATGCATGTAGATTTTAATCATATTATATTGATTGATAGACTAATTACACCACAGGACTCTTGAAGTGAACTGTAAAAAACTGAAAGATTAGTAATCATTAATTACTTAAGATTAAACATTAAATTGCTCAGAAATGGTTATGTATTACATATATTATGTATTATATAATTGATTAATCGCATCCAAGAAAAAAAGTTTGTGTTTACATAATATATGTATGTGTGCTGTGTATATTTATATATATATATATGTATATATAAATACACACACATATATGTATATATTTATGAAATATTTACATGTATATATATTCATATTTATATATGATTTATATCATATATAAATATATTACATATTCCTCTTAAATATATACATGTATGTATGTGTGTGTATTTATATATACATATAAATATACACAGCACACACACATATATTATGTAAACACAAACTTTTCCAAATTCACGATTAATCAATTTGACAGCACTAATATATAACCATTTATTTAATACCATTTATGAATAATTTAATGTTCGTATACACACACACACACAAAATAGATGCCATAAACTTCATATGACACCCGAGAGCTGTATATATTCCTGCTACATTTGGAGAGTGATGAATTCAGTGAAAAGAGAGTTAGATGCATGCATGTGTTTGTGTGTTTTTGTGTACTCACTCCAGGCTTCCTGGAAGCACACGATATTGACCCCACACATGGCCGCCACCTCCACCATCTCCCCCACGCGCTTGTGCAGAGCTGTGATCTGTGAAAGCAAAATGAGAATACTGAGCCAACAGTGAGATGAACTCAAATGGATAATACATATATGGAATCTGTTTTAGCATATGTACATATGGGCCTATCAGAGCCAAAATATGCTAGCTGGCCCTTATATGCACTGTGTTCTCTCACCTGTTCAAGTACAGGAGCATCAGTGGGTAGGACTATCTTGTTCTGAATGAGTCCCACGCGGACAGTTCTGGGTGGTCTGAGCTGCTCTGGAGAAGCCTCAAACACATAACCCTTCAGATCAAAATCTTGCTCCTCTGCTGCATCTAATGCACTCTGGGGAAGGTTCAGCTTCCTGAAAGGCATTACAATTTTAAATGTCAAACACTCAATAACTTCTATAGTCAAACAAATTGATTATAGATCAATTTCCAATCTGCAGCATAGAACAACCTGCTGGTTGGTCTGGCCAGAGGAGAACTGGCCCCCCGACCAAGGTTTTTTTCTCCATTCTGTCACCGATGGAGTTTTGGTTCCTTGCCGCTGTCGCCTCTGGCTTGCTTAGTTGGGAAACTTATCTTTGACACAATCTGTATTGTTAAAAGTGCTATATAAATAAAGGTGACTTGACTTGACAAATAGGGAAGAGCAGGGATGATTGTAATGGTCTGGGATACATTTGTTTTTCAGTTAAGGTCGTATGAAAACAATGGAGCAGTGTATGAAGAATGTACAGAGAACAACCAAACCATTACCAGCAGTGCTATGTACCCTTGCGAAAATTAACCATGGTTTTATTATAGTAAAAATGTAGTAACCATGATTTTTTGGCATATTGATTACCATTCGAATAACCACAATTTTACAACAAATACCATGGTTAAACTATTTCAAAGTGTTTTTAGGATTTACTAAGTATATCTGAGGCAAAACATTTTCTGAATAAGTTAGCAAAACCAAAAAGTTTTACAATTTCGATGAGGGGGAAAAAATAATTTATTTGCTTGGACAGACAAACTGTTTGGCTATTGTCATGTAGCCAAGAAGTTCGCGTTATTATGTAATGTTTTGTTTTTTAGTTTTTGAAGAAAAAAAAATGCGAAAATGAAACCAAGGAAAAGGTTAGTTGTTTCTATTCATGGGAATACTGATTATTTTCACATAACGTTCAATAAAATTACACAATAACATCTGTGAATTATATCGTCATATAAAGTTAGAGCATGTCAGATTTTGACAAACTCACATCGTTGACATCAACGACATTCCCAGGGACTTTGTGGCCAAAGTCCACCATAAATCATTTACTCAGTTTCAACCTAGGCTAGTGTTAGAGGCCTTTTTTGCTTTTGTTAATTGTATAATAAATAAAAAGAAAACAATTAGATAGAATACAAAAAGATTAGAGAAGCAAGAGTTACCTGTAATTTAATTACATATTTTTTCTCAGTAACTGTAACTGATTACAATTACTTTTATTTTGTAATTAAATTACGTAATTCGTTACATGTAACTAGTTACTCCCCAACACTGTCTAGAGGGCACATAAGTCTGAAGTAATGAATTTAGGTAAAGGGGTGCAGAGCCAGTGGTGGTTTTGTAGGCAAACATTAATGCCTTTTGAATTTTTTGAATTTTAGTTTTCAGACCAAATGTATGACCTGTAGGCGTTTTAGTTGAAGGCATTTCTGCAGCTGTGCTGTAACACGTTATACTATAGCCCTCATTGCGACTGTTAAACTATACCACATGACCATTTTAAACGTAGGAATGCTGAAAAAGAAATAGTGACCATAAAGTTTTTTTTTTTTTTAAACATAGACATTTTCTTACACAGTCATTCAATTTAACCTAATCTCTTTATATTTAATTAAACAATGGACAAATTATATACGCAATATCACTCGAGTACGAGAGCGATAGGCCTACCGGCTCTATATCAGCGGCCTTGTGCCGGAGGCAATAACAGCCGCTGATATAGAGCCGGTATCGCTCGAGTACGAGAGTGATTGCGTTTATACAACAGTTGGACGAAACGTGTGTAATTAAACAAGAAACAACGGAGTGCCTTATAAAACCCTCTTTTGTGCGGAACTACTTCCTTCCGCCACGGATTCAAAGCTCAAGTTGACAGTTAAACATAAGTCACTTTTAGAATTCGTATCAAGGGCATGTGCTACTTCAGTTAGGTTATTAGTAAGAAATAATGAGGTTATAAGAGAGAAACAATGCGGCAAGACGTGCATCCAAATGAGAGAGAGAGAGCGACCGCGAAGCTAGACGTTTCTTCTTATATTAACTAACGTACTCTACCATTAGCTCAGTGAATAATAAAAAAAAAACATAGACCCGGCTAGAACAAGCGGAGTGATACAAAATTGTGAAAGGGCGTTCCTGTAGCGATACCAGTACAATATCTCACGGTTCTCAACCAATCAGATTTGAGAACCAGAACGAACTGTTGTATAAAACCATATAAAAAAGGGGCGATGCTGCCGTTAT